CTGCTTTCTCCTTTCTATCCCAAGATCATGCACTACATGTAATTAATTAGTATGTTCTTCACGCAATTAGCTAAAGAACATCATTTCTTTCATTCTTTGTGAATTTCCTCAAAACCCAATAGCCACAAGAAATTCTCTCCAGTTAAAGAAATGTGCAAAGGAATGAGAAACATATTCAGTGCTTTTCCTTCCTCTGACCCCCTGTACCTCTACACATATAGTATCAAACTTTTGCATCAAATACAGGCACGTATATATTCCCTTGTCCTGTTTCATACCCCTTTTATAAGATGGTGATGTCCAGTATATCAAAAGAGTCAATAAATATAAGTTGAAAACTGTTGAACATGAATTTTTCTCCTTGTTTACTGCCATTTCAATATTCTGTTTTAATGCCCATGTGAGACTACTCCATATGTTAGCCTTTATACTCTCTTAAAATATATGCTATATGTTGGACATCTCAGATTTATAGTTCTACTAAGATAGGCTCAAGTTAGAAAATACTGCAATAGTACTAATTTCTTATTAAAACTGGTAATTGAGGGAGCAATTAAGACTGATTAAAAGGTAAGGGAAAAAATTCTAAAATATGCAAACAAATAGTACATCAAATAAAAATGCAGGGGGCTACAAAAATTACATTTAAAACCTCATATTCATTTACTCTATTCTAAACATGAGAAGGATGTTAGTAAAGAAAAGTGCATGTTTATAAGATTTTGCAACCAATTTTTTCAACATATTTATTAAAATACATCTCACGACTTGAAGAACTCATTCTGTTACTAAAAACTACTTCCAGCAATTCAGCTTCTTTGTGTACATTTTGGAAAGTCGTTTCTGGATCTTATCATTCTTCCCTGGAGACCTTGCCTTTGGCAATTACAACATAGCGGAAAAAAAATCCTGAACACATGCACCATACCTTTTCCAAATATGAGTTATCTACCTCTGTCTTTTGTGAGCCTCTTAGACAGGGATGATATACTTAAATTTAAATTCAAGATTTTCAGGCTAAATTTTATTTTAAAAACCTAATCTTTTAGCTTATTCTTCTAGAAATGCTGAAACCATGAGCCTGAAAGATCTTATTTTATAAGTCTATAAGCATTTAGGAACGACTTGTGTAACGGCTATTCCAGCGGTAGGAGAAATCAAGCTTTTCTCACTTTATTGTATTTATCATGATATAACTCCATGAATATTTATGATATATATCTCACAATCTAAATGAGAAGACTCCAGGTAGCATTATTATTTTGATACGATGTTTGATATAGTGGCCTATCCAGAGTTCATTATTATTTTTCTATTTGGTTTCTTTGTGTTCAGATAGCATGTCTGGTAAGTTATCATCAAGAGAAGTTAAGAAAAATATTAAGTTAGGGAAGTAGGAAATGAAGGGAGAAGTGGTTTCCTTCCTATGTTAAATTTCTGGGCCACTTGAGAAAAACTTTTTGAGACATATACAAAGATGAATAAAGATTAAATAAAAGTGGAACTAAATCTGGAATTATAAATGTGATCTACCTAAATTTTTCCAGTGGGATGAAGTTCTTTTAGTAAATGTAAATGTCACTATATCCTACTCAGAGAGGAGGAAAAAACGCCAGAAGAAACTTTTAAGCCAAGTTTATGTCACAGGTTATTATTTTAAACTTCTTGTGGCATTATTTATCTTATCTATAGCTAGTTTTAAAAACTGACATTTTCAACGTTAATATTTAAGTCAAGTCCTAGCAAAATATACTAGAAGACCACATTCTCAAATGAAATACTAGTATCATAATTTAATTTTTCTATTGGATAAGGTTTTCTTCACTTATATTTTAAAAGTCATGTATGCTGAATACTGATTAGTAATGTAGAATCTTTGTGAAAGAATAACATGAGCAAGGACCACCTGTAAGTAATTAAATTTCAAGAAAATGTAGCAAACATAAGTAAATGTACGGCTATGGGAGTTTACCAACAAGTCGAGTGATGAAATATTTGATTTCCAAATCCAACTTTTAAAATTTAAGATGTTTTAAATTAATTGGTAACACATGCCAGAAAGACCTTTTTCACTAGCCAATTTTCATTCCTTAAACCTAATTTTAATGAAAACCTCTTACAAATTTGCAAAAGCTTAAAGTTCCCTTTAAAATCGTCCATGTCTTCAAAAATTTTATCACATTAACTACTTGATTACTAATAGCAACAGCAGGCTGGATACATTCTGATAATGGCCAATTCTTCTGGTATAGTGAAAGACATTTTGCAAAGTACCAGTGATCCACATTCTTTCTTAAACGATCCATGTTCATGTTTGCACACTCTCCTCTCTGTTCCCACTAAATTTTGTTCAAGTATCTATAATCTTCCATTCCTATATGATATTGTGATTATCTATATAAATATCTCAACCTTCTACTGGATCCTAATTATACCTTCAGGATAGGGGCAGTACCCTATTCAGTTGTGAATCCCCAAGACTTAGCACTGTGTGTGGTCACAAAGTAAAAATTTATATAAAACCATGCTGAATGAACAAATGAATTAAATAAAGCACAGGAAGTTCAACTACAGAGGCACCCAAACTCCTTTCAAGCTGCAATTCATCGAGAGGATCATTTATTGGCTCAACAGAACTGCCAATAGGTACATAAAGCTACATAACTTTCTTTGTAGGCAGTGGAGTAGAGGACATGAGTGAGAAAGATGGAAAATTATATTTTAAAGGACAACAATTGCAGGTCTCCTAAATGGAAACTTAATTACTCTAACACACCATATTAAATGGTATATTTCTTGGCAATCATAAGACTTCAGAACAAGCTCTAACACAGAGTTATTATTTTTTAATATTTTATTTATTTATTTGAGACAGAGAGCACAAGCAGGGGGAGCGGCAGAGGGAGAGGGAGAAGGTGGCTTCCTGCTGAGCAGGGAACTCAACATGGGGCTCGATCCCAGGACCCCAGGATTATGACCTAAGCTGAAGGCAGATGCTTAACCAACTGAGCCACCCAGGTGCCCCTCTAACAGAGTTATTTATTATGGATCTAATAGGTTCTATAATTTGGCTTATAAAGTTAGTGTAAAAGTAAAATAATCTGGGGATCAAATGTCATTAATGCTTGAATTATATGTATAAAATATAGCCTTAATGATTTACTTCAAATGTGAAATCAGCATTAGAAACGTGTATTGGGGAGCCTGGGTGGCTCAGTCAGGTAAGTGTCTGACTCTTGGCTCCAGCTCAGGTCATGATCTTGTGGTCATGGGATCAAGCCCTGCACTGGGCTCTGTGCTCAGCAGAGAGTCTGCTTCAGATTCTCTCCCCCTCTCCCTCCCACTTTCTCTCTCTCAAATAAATAAGTAACATCTTAAAAAAATACTGTAGAAACACATATCCATTTAAATATTTTTAAAAATGCTATGTAACCCTTACAATAGCTTTAGCTACAAAAGCTTACAACGTAATTGTACTACTTTGATTTGAAGGCAGTGAAAAAAAAATAAGTTTAGGGCTGGTGTCACTTCACTATGATCTTATACCACATGGTATGAGATCTCATGTTTATGAGGCTTCTCAAAAGTTTTTTAGGTACTGGAAAGGATAAGAAAGATAACGACCCAAAAGACAAATATAGGCCTAAAATCTATAATGCACCATTTTTCCATCAAGATCACACATCTATAGCAGTTTATAGTTTTGATATCAGACTCAATTTTTAAAAACTGCACATCTATAGTAAATGGAATTGATTCTTTAATTTTCCTTTCTATATTTTCATTGCTAGTGTATAAGAAAGCAACTGATTTCTGTGCACTCATTTTGTATCCTGTCACATTACTGAATGGCTGTATGAGTTCTAGTAGTTTGGGGGTGGAGTCTTTTGGGTTTTCCATATAAGTATCATGTCATCTGCGAAGAGAGAGAGTCTGACTTCCTCTTTGCCTATCTGAATACCTTTTATTTCTTTTTGTTGTCTGATTGCTGTTGCTAGGACTGCTAGTACTATGTTGAACAAGAGTGGCAAGAATGGACATCCTTGTCGTGTTCCTGATCTCAATGGGAAGGAAGGCTGTCAGTTTTTCCCTATTGAGAATATTTGCTGTGGGTTTTTCATAGATAGATTTTATGGAGTTGAGGAATGTTCCCTCTATCCTTATAATTTGAGTTTTAATCAGGAACGGATGCTGTATTTTGTCAAATGCTTTTTCTGCATCAATTGACAGGACCATGTGGTTCTTCTCTCTTCTTTTATTGATTTGTTCTATCACATTGATTGACTTGCAAATGTTGTACCACGCTTGCATCCCAGGGATAAATCCCACCTGGTAATGGTGGATAATCTTTTTAATGTACTTTTGGATCCTATTAGCTAGGATGTTGTAAAGAATCTTGGCATCCGTATTCATCAGGGATATTGGTCTGAAATTCTCTTTTTGATGGGGTCTTTGCCTGGTTTGGGGATCAAGGTTTTGTATCAACATGGATGGGACTGGAGGAGATTATGCTGAGTGAAATAAGTCAAGCACAGAACGTCAATTATCATATGGTTTCACTTGTGGAGCATAAGAAATAACATGGAGGACATTAGGAGAAGGAAAGGAAAAGTGAATTGGGGTAAATCGGAGGGGGAGATGAAAGATGAGAGACTGTGGATTCTGCGAAACAAACAGGGTTATGGAGGGGAGGGAGGTGGGGTGGGTGGGTGAGCCTGGTGGTTGGTATTAAGGAGAGCAGATATTGCATGGAGCACTGGGCGTGGTGCATAAACAATGAATCCTGGAACACGAAAAAATAAAATAAAATTAAGATGTTAAAAAAAAAAGCCCTGCACATCTATATTCTGTGATTTACAGCCAACATACAGTTTGGTTGGTATAACTTTCAGGATTTTAGATACAAGCAATAGTATTAAATGTTTCCTAAGAAATAAGTGAAATAATTTGCATCAAATTGTGAGAATTCAAATAAGCACATTTTGCTAGTATGATTGTACCTCGTTCTCCCTTCTGACACTTCTTTCTTTGCACTGTACACTTTCTTGTCTCACTGGTGGGGGGACACAGGTTACCCTTTGCTGACGGATGCTGTGTTATTTCTCGGACCCGTGTTTCAGTCCCTCTTTTGAAACCACATGTTTTTCCTTTCTTCATGCATGGACTCCAAGGACCCCATTCACTGGCCTCACAGTGCACTGAAACAGAACAGCAGAAGCAGGCTCAGCGGGCTCACTGATATTTTCACAATTGTTCAAGAAACAAAAATATTTGCTTCTATCAATACTTGTTCAAATTCTGAGAAATCCTGTAGAACAAACTTGGGCAAGATGACTTAAAGAAAACAAAGAGAAAGGGAAAGGTAGAAATATAATATTTTCATGTTTTTCATGCTTATAAAATATCAGGTAAACTCATTCTTGCATTAGGTTTACTTTTCACTCTGGATTTATAAACTTGGGCACTAATATAATTACTCGCAATTGACCAAGGCTTTATTGATTGATCCTGACTATAACTTAATAGACTAGTAATTATTATGTGCTACAGATCTGCTTCTCGAACTTCAGCGTGCAACAGAATCACCTGGAGGGCTCGCTGAAGCACATACTATTGGACCCCACCCCTGGAGTTTCTCATTCAATTGTCTGGCACCAGGTCTGAGAATTTTTATTTTTAACAATACATATGGTGTTGATTTGCATGTACAAAGAACACCCTTGGAGAACTTCTGTGCTAGAGAATGGTTAACCAAAAAAGGTGTCCACGGGACACCGAGGTGGCTCAGCTGGTTCTGCCTTCGGCTCAGGTCATGATCCCAGGGTCCTGGGATGGAACCCTGTGTTGGGCTCCCTGCTCAGCGGGGAGCCTGCTTCTCCTTCTCCCTCTGCTGCTCCCCCTGTTCTCTCTCTGCGCCAAATAAATAAAATCTTAAAAGAAAAAAAAAAAAAAGGCATCCAGGTCATTGACCTGGATTCACTGCAGTTGAATACTTAAATATTATTTATTAACAGGAATGGTTCAGGCATAGCGGCATCTATTTTAAGTGGATTCTGGGTCAATTTCAGCTGAGAAACTGCTGCTAGAATCAATGTGAAGAAATGATTTCTAAGATGAACAGATGTAATTTTTCCAAAGCTTCTTCTGTAGATTTTTTCCCCCTTTTCTATATGTATTAATCTCTTCTTTTCAATCATGGCTTTCCAGAGTCTTGTAACAGACTTCTGCATTTCTAACCAAAATAAGTATCTGCAAGATGCTATTATTCTATTTTTGTTCATACAACTTCCTAATTTACAATAACTGAAACAGCTTGCAGCAATAATTCTTTTTTTTTTTTTAAAGATTTTATTTATTTGACAGAGAGAGATCACAAGTGGTCAGAGAGGCAAGCAGAGAGAGAGAGAGAGGAGGAAGCAGGCTCCCTGCAGAGCAGAGAACCCGATGCGGGACTCGATCCCAGGACCCTGAGATCATGACCTGAGCCGAAGGCAGAGGCTTAACCACTGAGCCACCCAGGTGCCCCTGCAGCAATAATTCTTTAGATGATACAAGTTTCTTTCCACAAAACAGGTTTCCATTAACCTTTCTTGCTGCCTACTGATTTAAAGGATCCTTATTTTAGAGCAAAATTCTTTCATGCAACCTCAAAAAATATAACCTAAATGTTTTAGAAACTTAAATTCTTTTGCCGCACATTCTTTCACATGCTTTTATAGTTGCCATCAAGTATCTGAATGTAACACAGAGTTAAATGCTAATGACTAAATTAGGGAATTTAAGTTTCTGTACCTTAAATGAACCTTGCTGAGCCACTCTTAGTTTTCATGTTTAGTTCTAACATAATGATGTTAGTCAAAGAACAGAGCAACAGGGGGTCCTTGGTAGCTCAGTCAGTTAAGCATCTGCCTTTGGCTCAAGGCATGATCCCAAAGTCCTGGGCTCAAGCCCCACAATGGGCTCCCCGTTCAGCAGGGAGTCTTCTTCTCACCCTGCTCTTATACTCTCTCAGTCTCTCTCAAAGAAATAAATAAAATATTTTTTTTTTTAAAGAAAAGAGCACAAAGTCACTTAATGATATTGTATCTTTTGCCAATTAAGGACATATCTCCCAACCTGATATTAATGATACAAAAGCAGTGGATTTTTAGCACAAACAAATAAAACCATTTCTAAGAAAGCAAATGGAAAAATAAAAATCAAAGTTTGCAAGCTATCACTTCATCTAATATTCATTTATTGCCAGAACCAAGAGGACTAAATTAGAAAAAAAAATTACGTGACATGAAAATGACCAGAACATTGGTGCTTTTTCACAGTTGCAAAGGTGGTCTAGGCAAATGTGTATTTAGACTTTAGAAAAAAAAGATTTTTAAAATTACAGCTAGGAGTCCTTAGTCATATGACAATTGGTTCTAAAAATGAAATTCTTTCTTTTTCTTTTTCTTTCTTTTTTTTTTTTTTTAAAGTAGGCTCCATAGCCAGCATGGAGCCCAGAATGGGGCTTGAACTCAAAACCCTGAGGTCAAGACCTCGGCTAAGATCAAGAGTTGAATGCTTAACTGACTGAGCCACCTAGGTGCCCCGAAAAATGAAATTCTTTTTTTTTTTTTAAGACTTTATTTATTTATTTGACAGACAGAGATCACAAGTAGGGAGAGAGGCAGGCAGAGAGAGAGAGAGGAGGAAGCAGGCTCCCTGCTAAACAGGGAGCCTGATGCGAGGCTCGATCCCAGGACCCGGGGTCATGACCTGAGCCGAAGGCAGAGGCTTTAACCCAATGAGCCACCCAGGTGCCTGAAAAATGAAATTCTAATGACAATCTTAGATAATTCCATTGAGGAAGAAGGAGGGAAAATACTGAAAACTTATGAGTTCAGATATTAAAAAGCTCTAAAAAAAAAAGAAGGGCTAGTTAAAAAGCCTTGAGAGGTAGAGAGGAAGAGAGTTTTTCCTAGAGAAATACTATAGAATGAATCTATAATATTAGTTTCTAAAAATATTTCTGGAAAATTGGAAACTTTGGAAAACATGTAAAGGTAACAAAAAGGATTGTGATTTAAGTTATACTCAGGTCGTTAAATGAACGATACAGAACTGGAGCATCATTTGGTTAAGAGGTAACTAAGGAAAAAACCAAAATTACTCATTTTCTCTATTTCTTCTATTTTCTGTATTAAAAACAATATTAACAAAGGAAATCTTTATTCACTAATGAAGCAAGGGTCTCAAAAAAGTCATTAGCTTCCTGTCCCTGGAAGTGGTCATTTTGTGATAGTCTTAAATGCTCTAAGAGGGATTCTTGAATTGGGAGAAAAGCTGAACTAGATGTTCCCACTGGTAATGACCTTATAACACAATTACTCTTTTGCTCTCATTCTTGTTGACCAATTGCATGGTTCCATTAAGAACATAGCAAAGGGCATGTTCCTTGCTATTCACTGTTCAAAGTTGAATATCTTCCTCTGTGAATACTTGAACAAGGCCAACTCTCCAAGAGGAGCACAAAGGATGACAGAGTGACAGTGCAGAAAGGACGCAAGTATCTAGAGCATGGAATACAACTATATTCTCCTATACGATTGGGTTCAATGGACATTTATGCCTAATTTGACAACAAACCATGAAGAGTGGATATGTTGAAACTTAAGTCTTTCCCCCTAGCTTTATATCAGGGTGGCATTTTCTCCATATATGACCTTTCCTCTAAATAATAATCTGGGTAAGAAACAAGTGACACAATGTCGATTTCAGCAAAGGGAGGGACACCTTCTTTGGTATCTTTGGTGAGCACCAGAGAGCTAGAGTCAAGATACTAATAATAGCACTGACAATAGCTCACACTGTGTCCTTGGAACCATTATTTCATGCTCTCGGTCATAGTTTCATCTCTGTTAAAGGAATAAGCTTTAATGTTTCTTTGTGCCAAGCAAGCAGTTCATCATTTTTCATGAAATTCTGGGGCAAGCTCAGTCATGGCTCACCTACTGCTTGTTGGTTAGAGAGCACATGACGGGAGCCATCCCTTACGGCAAGCGACAAGAGAGAACCCTGAACAAAAGTCATGGATTTGCACTATTACCGTGTCCTAGGTCATTTACACCTAACTGTTCAATGAGCCAGATTCACTAAATGGCTTTTAGATTGCTAACCCCTATTCTTAAACATATAAATTGCTTAAATTTAACTGTGTTAAGAGATAGTTTTTGTCTAAATAGTAGGATAAATTACCAGTCAGCTTTACTGTTAATCCAACAATGCCAGGTGCTAAATGCTCTCTATGATAGAAAAACATTAATACATTTATGATAAACAGCCTTTCAAGGACTGAATGCTACACTTTCGACGGCTAAGAGAATCTAAATATGTGCTCTTTTTTCTGGGTTGAGAAAGACCACAAACTTTCTACAGCTCATCCTGAATTTCTGTCCTTGAGTACTCCACAGAACTGTTTCCTATTTCTTCCACAGTTTGGAACTTATTACCTTTAATCATCAGCCCTCAGGACTTACAAAGAGATGGACTTGAAGTGCTTTCTCATGTGTGTTTTACCCTATTTCTAAGTTGTTTCTCTGTGTCTTTACTGACTAGAGGGGGGAAAAAAATGACTAAACCAAAATGAGCCATGAACTGTTTCATGCTTGCTGTTTTCCAGATGCTTCTGAAATTATCTTTAAAATATCATCTATTCGTTTCATTCTTCTACGAAGTTTGTTTAGAACTAAGTGTTTCTTGTGGACCTGAAACAGGTGAACCACCACGTTAGAGTTATTATTCTACACTTTTGATTCTAATAGATCTATCTGTGCGGGCCCCAGGGGAGTCCTGGAGACTATCTTGTACTGAATCAGGAGAATATTTGCGCACATATGCCAATATCAGTGCAGCATCAAAGGTTCTTGTAGCTCTTCCCCAGGGGATTTTGAGATTTAGTATGCTGTTTTCCCTTTTGACTTAGCATCTGCTCCCCAACTGTTCATCAAACTCATAGCTGTAGTAGCTGTGCAACACTCAAAAGAGGGAAAATAGAGCCTGACAGTGATCCATTATTTAGACAAACAACTGGTCTGACGGACGTCCCTCCCAGGAAATTCAGCCTGCATTTAATCAGACCCTGTGACTTGTGTCCTCCTGTCAGTTTGAGTGAGTCCCAAGTCCTCTCCTTGTTTCTGAATACCTGTGCAAGTAGAGCATTTCAGCAAAGCAATGCAAGAGAAAAAAGTCATATTTTCAACTATATCAACTCCAGTTCTGTAGATCTTTGGCTCATCTACGGAGTGTCAACGGGCCATACCCAGAGAGTGATTTCTCCTCTTGGAAAACAACATTACTCATGCTTGACATCAGACCTAGGTGTTTCGTGAAACTCTTGTCCTAATGTGGAAATTTAATTTAAGAGCAAATATATACGTGTGTGTGTATGTGTGTGTATTATATAAGACATATGCAAGTATGTCTATAATAAATTAAGTAGAACTTCACTGTATCATAATGATATAAAATAAATATGTAATGATCAGAATAGCTAAAACAGTTGCCAACAGTCTCTCAGAAATAATGGGGCACCCATGGGGTGTTAAATTATACTGTGATACATGCTGGGTAAGGCTGTGGGAACTCTGTTAAGATGGTATCTTTATAAGGAAGGATGAAGAAAGCCTCTTGGAAATAGTCTCTCAGGTAGTTGTGAAATAAGACTTTAAGCAGCACTTCCATGGAGACTGATGTTATCATCTGAGGTGTTTCTCCTCCCCTATAAACCTTAGAGTTCCTTCTCACCAATACTGACGCACTCCATGGTATGGTTGTTGGCTTCCAACCCTTCTGGGCAATTGTCAAGGCACTTTCCAAGGTGTAAGTAAAATCCACTTTTACACTTTGTGCAGAAATTTTTGTTGAAACAGGTATCACAGTCAGCTTTGCATTCTGAAATAGAAAAAAAAAGGAAAGAAATATGCTTTCATTATCTTCACTTATCTATTGCTGGTCCAGGTCTGTATGCTTGCATTATAGACATAGGAGACTTTTGGGTTAAATACGCTTAGGATTCAAAATTAATTTGCCAGACTGAATTATGGATTCTTCCACAGTCATTCAGTTGATATATATCACCCATTGATTTTGAAATTATTGTATCGATAGCCCTATGAAAAGTTTTTGGCAATGTGTCTATTGCCAAAAATGTTTATAAGACCAAGTATTTATTTATACTAAATGACAGTAAGAAGTGTTTCATCAGAGCTTTAACGAAATATACTAGATACTGCTTTTGGGCTGTTTTGGCAGTCTATTCATTCGTTCAACAAATTTTGATTGTCCACTATGTGCCTAGCACTATTCTAGATATTGCTTGATAGCAGAGCATACAAGAGAGATAAAGACTTCACAGAGCTTACATTTTAGAAGGGGAGACACAATAAATAATAACAACATCTGACCCTTATATAGTGATTACTGTAAGTCAGATACCGCTGCGAGTATGTTATAATATTAAGTCACTTGAGAGGTTTAAGTTGTGGAGGTTATTGTGAGGACAATAACCCAGTGAGACAGCTCCTATTATAATTTCCATTTTATAGATAAGGAAACCAAGGCTCAGAAAGATTATGTAACTAACCCAGGACCACAGAACAAAGTGGTTCCAGAGTGATAAGTGCTCTGGAAAGAATAACTATGGCAAATGACCGATAAGGGGAAAAGGTTGATTATTGTGAGCAGGTCATAGAATGCTTCCCTGAGAAGGTGACACATGAGCAGAATCTTGAATGAAAGAAGAGAGCCAACCAAACAAAGATGTAGGTAGGCAAAGAGCTTTCCAAACTGTAAGAACAGTGAGTGTAGAACAGTAACTGCAAAGCCTTTGAGGTGGGAAGATCTTGCAAGAAAACCAGTGATGTCAATGGAAAATGGCTGAGATGCATTCACAGGAGAGGAGTCGGAGAGGAAGGCAGGGCTACGTGTGGTGTATGACAGAGGAATGATATTTCTGAATTTAGATTCTAAAAAGTTACTGGGTCTACAGTGGGGAGAGTAGACTTTCAGGGTCCACAGGAGAGGGGATAATGACAGTGTTTTCAACATTCATTTCCAACAGATAGATAAATGTTTCACTGGCTTTACTGGAATCCTTCTTGAAGCAAAAACAGCTGAATTTATTCTTTAAATCATTAAATACTTGGATGTTATGATCATAATGGGAACTCAGATGGCATTAATGGTTACTGTACTTTTCTATATGTTCCATGAGTAATAATCAGGTTCTCAGTTTTTGCTTTTATAATGTAAAACAACAATAACACAAAACTTGAGTGCTTTTTACAAGAGGTGAAAATTTTCCTGCTCTGAGGGCTAAGTCCAAGTATGGTTTAGCCTAATTATCAGGTAAGTATCATTATTTCCTAAACACTGAATATCACAAATACTCTAGGGGCCAGTAAATCTGGGAAGTCCCTAAGGATGAGATAAAAACATAATGCCATGTAGCACTTACTTGTACACTTATTTATATCTGGATATCGAGTTCCATAATATCCACTTGGACATGAAGAGAGACACACTCCAATCTGCTTCATGCCAATTCTTTCCAGAACAAAAAATAGTCTGGGCTTACATGACAAACATCCATTGTAATCTGAACACGTTGCACAGCCTCCTTGGCAGCCTTGACTGACGTTAGGATGCACTGAAGGGACAAATGCAGAAAGATAAAAAACAAATGTTAAATTATAAATACAGAAGTTCGATGACATTCTCTAGGCAGATGGTACACTTTTCATTAGGTTTCAATTGGTGGTAATGGGTGAATGAGTTGGAATTTTCGCTTCCCTTTTCTATGATCTACTATTTCCCTTTAATACATACATAGTTTTTAATTAAAAGTTCTTAGAATTTGGGAATTTGGAAACTAAGAATATACTGCCTCAAACTATTTATAGATATCTCTCTCTCTCATACACACACACACACAAACACGCACACGTAATGAAAATATTCTCGTTGAACCAGGATCCTGGAAGATTGGAGACTGGGTAATTTTGTACTGAAATCAATGCACATTAGTTTGCTTGTCATTTATGTGGCGGATGAAAAGCATGCACCTAATTTCTTCAAGCAAGGATGACAACATAGATGAAGGTTTAACTTGAGCAAGGACACTTCCTTTTAGGATATCTTTTTTCAACTGTAGTCTGTTAGCGAACACAGTTTTACCCTTTGTTCCCGTGTAAATTGATTGTGAAACTACCTAGTTCCTTGGAATCCATTCTCCCATGCTTTCTCAAAATATTTCCTTTCACAGGAGTTTTATATGTATCAGTTCAAATTGATACAATGAAGAAAATGTGATATTTATCTTACCAGTATTTCCACATGATCATATGTGGTTATTTATATTACTAATTATAATTCATAATATTTATAATGTTCAACATTTTATCTTTGGGGAGAGAATTCTTTTTTTTTTTTTTAAGATTTTATTTGTTTGTTTGACAGAGAGAGAGGCAGCAAGAGAGGGAACACAAGCAGAGGGAGTGAGAGAGCGAGTAGCAGGTTCCCTGCTGAGCAGGGAGCCCAACGGGGGGCTCCATCCCAGGATCCTGGGACCATGACCTGAGCTGAAGGCAGATGCTTAATGACTGAGCCACCCAGGCACCCCTAAGGGAGAGAATTCTTATAGTTCTTTTGTCTTCATCTTCCATCTATTCAAGTGAAATATGTATTTAGTGAGGACATGACATTAAAGACTAGAGCTACACATATTCCTGTGGTGGTGAGATTATTCATTAGCAAGTCTGAACAGATTTAAACAAACATGTGCAAGATTCATGTTTAAAGATCTTCACAACTTTGAACCTTTTTATGACTATTAACTGGTCATCAGCACATACATACAAGCTGAGGGAAAAGGGCTGACTGAAGTACATCTCTCAAGTATCTGGTGTTTGGGATGTTTTCTTCTCATGTACTCTGTGTTCAAATACAATATAAGTAGCTTTACTGTCCTTCTAGGAATCTGGAAGGGAAAAATTGTGACCTTTCTGAGAAACAAAGGTTGATGCACAGGAGTGTAAATGTATCCCAATGTATTCTGATTTCTTTTGTTGTTGGTAGTGGGATTGGGCTCTGATGGGCCTTGCCATTATCAGGTCTGACTTCAGAGTGATGTTTGGTTCTTGCTAAGTTCTTTACCACAAAAACAAATCCCACCAGGCTTAGTTAGAAGGGGGTACCCATAAGCCCAATCAGCCTTACCACAGGGGTGCAAGGGTTAGCTGTAGAGAGGTCATTTGGTTGACCAGCATCCTCTGCCTAGAGGAAACCATCCCTGAATCAGCCACAGGAACCACAAGCAGCTCATTCTCATTCCAAGACGTTTTGTAAATAAACTGAGGAAATATGTGGGGGAAGGGAAGTTTGCTTTTCCTGTACATGCTCCTCTATGGGGTGGGACGGACATATAAAATGGCACAGGAGGTTTAGACATTATAGGACCTGGGGGACTTGTAAGTGAAAACTGTTTTCCAAGTAACAGAATCGTTTTTCATGCCAGTAAGTCAGCATTGGAGACTTACAGAAAACGTGTACATACATTTTAAGTAGGGAAAGACCCTAAAAAAGAAAAGGGATGAAGAAAGAGTCCTGTGCTCAGAAGTTGGTTTGGCCCATTTTAAGACACCAGAGATATAGGTAAAACCTTCTCATAAGAACTGTCTATGGAGAAGTGGACCTCACTTTGAAAGAAAATCACTTCAATCCCAGGGCAGTAAGTGACTCTGAGTTTGAATGCAGATGGGTTTGACTGGTCCACAGCAACCTATCTCTAACTCTGAAATGCAGCTGCTCAAAGGAAACAGAATTGTAATTTCAAGCACCTCAAAACTTCTGTCAATTATGATATAACTTTAAATCAGTTACGAAAAGAAACATGATTTAGAGGTGCAAAGCCTCAAAGAGGATATACCTTAAAATACATTTCATTTTAAATTTTGGGTTTTGGGTGTTTGGAAACTTCTCCGGGAAAAAGCCCCATAAAAGGACCCATAGTTGGTAACAGTTCCCACCAAAATTATGAGATGTGCCAAGGTATTTTGCTCAGTTCTTTAAAACTTTCACTGAAGAAATCTAACAATCAACTCATAATGTTGGGCTATATACTTCTTGCTTGCTTTTTTTCATATTTTGCCTTTTTATAAAAAAGTGTTTGACAAAGTAGATTTTTGAAAAAGTAAAGAAGACATAATTGCCCTAATTGGCAAAGAAAATTTCTATTTGTGTTTAATCAGGAAGTTCCAGTTATGGGCAGGCACAAATAATGGCAAACTTCATTTCTTCAGGAAAGTTTCAGTGTTATGCTGTGGGAAGTGGGAAAAATTGAGACTGTGAAGCTCAGATTCTATGATTCTAGGTTTTTTTTTTTACAGTTGAGTAGTAACTATTTCTTGAATGCTGTATAAGGGTCACTCAAATTATACAGTCAGTATTACACAACTAGGTACAAATTTCCCAAACTTCATCTTAAGGCAAGTTTTTACTTTTTATATGGAAACCACAGAAAACTTTGGTCTGGATTGACTGTAACTCGTTCAGCCTTAAAAATCTTATGATTCTAAACTTAGAAAATTAAATTATATTTTTTTAAAAGATTTTATTTATTTATTTGGTGGTGGGGAGCAGGAGCAGGGGCAGAGGGAGAAGCAGACTCCCCACTGAGCAAGGAGCCCGATGCAGGACTCAACCCCAGGACTCTGGGATCATGACCTGAGCCAAAGACAGATGCTTAACTGACTGAGCCACCCAGGTGCCCCTTAAATTCTATTTTTTTCATACTTCTTCTTTTCCATTCTAATAATAAATTCATTTTGTATTTCTGAATCACCTTTTTTTCAAACAGCATTTGGACTATTACTTCATATGAGCAATGGAGGTGTTAGTGATGATGAGGTTTCATAGAATACTTAAGGTTTAAACCCAATCTTAGAAAACAAGTTGAACAAAACTAAAAGGCAACCTACAGACTGGGAGAAGATATTTGCAAATGACTTATCAGATAAGGGGCTAGTATCCAAAATCTATAAAGAACTTATCAGGGGCGCCTGGGTAGCTCAGTGGGTTAAAGCCTCTGTCTTCGGCTCAGGTCATGATCCCAGGGTCCTGGGATAGAGCCCGCATCTGGCTCCCTGCTCAGCAGGGAGCCTGCTTCCCCCATACCCCGCCCCCCGCCTACCTTTCCTCCTACTTGTGATCTGTCAAATAAATAAATAAAATCCTTAAAAAAAAAAAAAGAACTTATCAAACTTAACACCCCCAAAACAAATAATCCAGTCAAGAACTGGGCAGAAGACATGAGCAGATATTTCTCCAAAGACATACAGATGGCCAACAGACACATGAAAAAAATGCTCCACATCACTTGGCATCAGGGAAATACAAATCAAAACCACAATGAGATACCACCTCACACCAGTCAAAATGGCTAAAACAAACAAGTCAGGAAACAACAAATGTTGGCAAGGATGTGGAGAAAGGGGAACCCTCTTACACTATTGGTGGAAATGCAACCTGGTACAGCTACTCTGGAAAACAGTATGGAGGTTCCTCAAGAAGTTAAAAATAGAGCTACCCTGTGACCCAGCAATTGCATTACTAGGTATTTACTCCAAGGATACAAATGTATTGATCTGAAGGGGCACCTCCACCCCTAATATTTATAGCAGAATGTCCACAATAGCCAAAGTGTGGAAAGAGCTGAGATGTCCATCGACAGAGGAATGGATAAAGAAGATATATATATATATATACAATGGAATATTACTCAGCTATCAGAAAAGATGAATACTTACCATTTACATTGACATGGATGGAACTGGAGGGTATTGTGCTAAGTGAAATAAGTCAATGAGAGAAAGAGAATTATCATTTGGTTTCACACATATGTGGAATATAAGAGACAGTACACAAGACCATAGGGGGAAGAGAGGGAAACTGAATGGGAAGTAATTAGAGAGTGAGAGAAACCATAAGAGACTCTTAACTATGGGAAACATACTGAGGGTTGCTGGAGGAGAGGGGTAGACGGGATGGGGTAACTGGGTGGTGGGCATTAAGGAGGGCAGGTGATGTGATGAGCACTGGGTGTTATATGCAAATGATGAATTGTTGAACTCTACATCTGAAACTAATGATGAACTATATGTTGGCTAACTGAATTTAAATAAAAATAAGAAAATGAGTTGAAGTTATCAGTATGTAAGTGGCCATGGTGGGGCTAGAGGAGGGGACACTCCAATTATCCACACCAGGAAGGAGACTGGCATGAGTTCCGTGCAACTGATGCCTAAATAGTGGTTAATGGAAAAATGATGACTATAAAAAGATTGGAAGCAGAGGACAGATTTAGATTACGGAACACTTTGTGGGCTGTGCCAAGGAAATTATTCTGTTCATATGGGCGATTTCAATCTGGTGAGTGACGTGATCACATTTGTATTAGAATGGTAATTTCTCTGGCAGTATGAAAGGCACAGAAACTGGAAGACTCATGTAGCGATCAAGGTAAAAGACTGATGATAGCGTAAAATACAGTAAAGGCAGTGTAATGTGTTGGGGAAGGTATGAATACTCCCAAGGACATTTAGGAGGTAGACTCGATCAAAATGGTGAGTAACAAAACGTGGACTGAACAAG